GGGCCCGAAACTTCCTTTCGCGATTATATGAGGGTTTGAGAGATTAAAGCGTTGCAACCTTCATGGGTAGCATTCTTCTTCGTGAAAGAACAACATTCATATTAGTCGTAAACCGAAACAACCTGGTTAGTTACCAACTCGTATCCCTTACCGTAATTACAAGTATGTCAACACCTTTGATCTTGCCCTCATATCCAATCCATAGTGCATCCAAAAATTGCCCAGGTGCCCGCCCCTCGAAGTTTTGGGCGCGCAATTAAGTGACACGATTCTGAAGGTCAATTAGGATTTCTAGAATGCATATATTCATACCAATGAAACAACAACTGATTAGTCTACCAAAGTGGTTACCTATTGCACGGGTTTCTTGGCAGTGCAAACATCTATTTGTCTTGAGTTTCTTCAGGCTCAGGAAACTACTTTCCTGATGTCATCGCCTTGGTGCCATTACCTGTTCATTCGCGGTCCTCGGTATTTCACAGAACCAAGCAAAAACCGTAAACCAGTTATATAGAAAGCTAAATCACGCTTTACTGTGGGGAGACAGATGAATTAAACACTGATCACTGGTAGGTGTAGTCCATTTTTGTTTTTCCGTTCCCTTAACATCCAAGTGATTGATAATATATGTGATAGTTCAATAATTGATCCGTCTGGGAGATCCAAGTGATCCCACGCCAATTTTTCGCTGACTGAATCATCTATTCAACTTTCCAAACGCTCAACGTAAATCCATCTTTCACTCCACTGAGTTCATCAAAAATATTAGCAGATCTGTGTCATTCCTACACCCAAACCATCCAGTATGACCTAATCAGACCTCTAACTACAAAGCGATCGCCCCCAAATTGGCCTCCTGTTCATATCGCGTACTTTATTTATCTCTCGAACATGATGTATTACGAAACACAGTGAACTTTCTGATACCAAGAACTATTGTTGTATTCCTTTAACATAATCGGTAATTGCTGACGTATTCCACCTAATACAGCTCTAAACCCAGGCAGTTTACGTATGGTCTTACAGTATTCATTAAACATACATAACGTTTAGTACTCGATCATCTCAAAGAACCCCATATGTTATCATTGAAAATAGCAAAATCATTCGATGGTGTGTGGCGCCGAGAGATATACTGCTTAAGCTCTCAACTTCGAACATTCTAGGGAAACCGCGGTAAATGAATTAAGTTTACTCAATCACCATAATAGCTCTCTCTAAGTGAAAGCGAGTCTAACTTGCTTCATCCCCATATATTAGTGCTACTGACCACAAACTACATACAGTTAATCTCCTGATATGTCGCATCCTTCGGGAATTCGAAAAAGTGGGTAAATTCCAGGAACCGCGACATAGCAGGATAATCAGTAGTAGATGCTATTAAGTAGTATAAAAATCGATTGACAGTTTTGTGACTAAATAAACCGGGTTGATGGAATCCCGTTAGCTGTTCCCAATGTTTATAACCATAAACTATTTATTTATAACGGAATTTAGATCTACCGTCCTGTATGTATCGAAGAATTATAAATCTTTTATAACGCCCTCAGCTTAATGTCGGTACATTGCATCCGGTATTCATCCCTTTTCAGTTCTGTTTCTAGTTATCCCGAATCTGCCTACCTTTCTTCAGGGGAACGTTTTCTGACTCAACTATCCCATATTAATTCCAGATATTCCTCTATTCCATTACAACGTTGGGCTAACCACAGCATGACGTCCACCATAATATACAACTGTTTTAACTATAATAATCCCATCAGTATCAACCCATTCAAGTAAATCAAAGGTGAAGCAGTTCGAATACAGTGAGCAGGAAATAACATTTAATTTGAGTGAAATATCTGTTACGGGGTATATTCAGAATATTGACCTCTTTCTCATATTCAAACTGATTGTTCGCTGTGCAATCTGTTCGTGATTTTCTAGTGCAAAATGTGTCTGTGAAAAATGTGTATAATTAGCGTCTGTAGACATCTATTCGTTCGTTCGTCTTTGTTGTTACCAGTGTATGTTCAAACCGATTGATGCATTCGTCATGACCGTTGTTGGTCGGACTAAGTTTAACACGTGATGCCATAACGTGATTCATAAACTATACCTTTTCAATTTAAGATGCCAGAGTATCAATTTAAGAAGTCATGTTCTTTGTGGATAGTACGATAGTCCGATTACGGCATCGTTTCATACTTGTTTGTACTTTTTGTGATGATCTTGTTGTCATGTGCAGTCAATTCGTTTGGTGAAGGCACGCCTGTTGTACAGCCGAAGTTCACTGCATCTACTAAAGACTAGCGGTTGTAGACACGATGTGGTTTCTCGCTCGGATTAGGTGAGTAGCCACAGGTCTCTTGTTGCGGTGACCTATCCGACCGATCGACTGATGAACCCGATCGGTAGCGTGATTGTCCGGTCGGCATAGGAGGAATGGAAAAGTTCAAGCGATGATGACACTGGGCCAAAGTGTGACTCGTCTAAGATACTTTGTTTTTAAGCGGGTTCTCGCGCCAATTTTCTGGCAGGCGTGAGACGGGGGTTTACTCCTGTTCAACCGACCGAAGGATATAGACGCCAGCCTAAAGGAATTATCGCAACTCTCAAGCCATTAAAGATTCGTAAAGTAAAAGTTCATCTTACAAACTGTCTTTAAACCCGGGTTACGACGACCTTTGGCAAGTGACCCATCTAATTTAATCGGTGCTCCAGCCAAGTGAGAGCATCGTTCACTCATTCACACAGGCGCGTCCGCGCGACGATGGTTATCGATCGTTTCATCTCGTTTCACTCACCCGCTTACCAGTCAATCGCGAATATCGTTCACCCGTTTGCACGTTAGTGCGACAGATCCCATCGATAGGCCGAATGACCGTGGCTTTGGTGACCACTGTAGCAAAATCGACCACATTCGAGTGACCCACAGAATTGCAAACATTTGGCAGATTACAAAGATGTATTTTTAGCGAAATCATAAATCGTCGTTGGTCTCAGCTTGACTCTCCTTAGGAAATCAACAAACGCTCTATATAAATCAATTGTACACTTCAATAAACTGAACTCCGAGCATTAGCCGCGGTAAACAACTTCAGTTGATCCAATAACTTCTGCGCCTCTCCGACTGAGATAAATTCACTGCCTCACATTCATCTTCTTCTTTGCGATGTTTAGCTTGATTCGAAACGAATTCATCTAACAACTAAAAAGAAACTTGATACAAAAATTTTAAATAACCCATTTCTTCATCATCAAATCCCAACCAGGCGATTTCTTCTTCGTTAGACAAATAATGAGTTAAGTCCTCGATCAAATCGCATTTATCCTCTGGTGGCTGCATCCCCGGCTGAAACAATATGGAGTTGAACCCAGCTTTCATGAAAGTGTTGATCAGTACGTGCGGGTGCACAGAAATCCAAGCTTTCTTGACCAGATGCATGGTCATGAGAATATCCACCTCGGCTTTCATGATAAGTTGCTCACCTGCAATCAAAGACAGAGCATATCCCAGTAAATGTTTCCGAAACAAACATTTGAAAGACCAAATCACATCCTGACCCATTGGTTGTAAAATTAAAGAACAGTTCGAAGGCAGCCGTACCAATCTGACGTTGGAGAATACTGCGGCTTGGTTAGGGAAAGAGACGTTGTCCATAAATAGTGAAGTAGAGCTCCTTTGAGAAACCATTTTGCGGGTGACATCGAACAGCCAACTGTGGAATAACCTAGAAGTCATCCATGCGTTCTTTGAAGAATTACAACTGCGTAGAAGGCTTTTTCTACACATACCTCGGAGGTATAGTGGAGTTTGAAACTCTCCAATCACCAACGGTGATGACTTTTTTCCAGTCATGCTCCCACAAAGCAATAACGCGACCCACTCTTTGAATTTCTTAGGCCCAGGAACTGTCTGTCCTTTCAGACCTAATGTTCTTTCTGGGAGCTGCCTGGAATACAAAGCTGTTCCATCTACATTGAAAATATCAGTCAACATATCCATGTATTAACTGCGGTAACCCCGATGGAAACTCCTCCACTGCACCACGTGGTACCGCTAAACATTCCACACAGACCTATAAAGTAATGCACATGAGTTGCTTGTTTCTTATTTTGTACGATTGAATACCATATCTGTCTGACCAAGAACGAAACCAACTCTTGGAAGCCTTGAATTCACGATGATGCATTCTTTGTGCTAACTGGATTGCCTTATTACAAACGATGCTCTCCACCATTGGGAACTCTCCGTGCTTTTACTTCATAGCGGTAAACTAAGCCAAAGTTGCCTCATTCAATACCTTGAACTTTTCCTTGGTTTTCAGGTGGCATCTTTCCTTAGATGCTCCAACGTTTAAAAATTGTCCCATATTCGCTCGATGGGATACAACATTGTAGACAGATTTTCGTGAAACTCCAAGTGATTTGGCTACGGAGCTCTGATTTGCACCTGGCTGATTCAGCATTTGCAACACAATACTTCTTTCTGATGGATAGGCGCTTGAGCATTTTGACGTCAAATGATACTGTCTCTTATCACTTGCATCGGTGTTTCTTCCTCGTAAGGATTATCCAATCAGTGAACAGTATCATGAACGCGTCACACTAGGTACAACACCATTGGTTAAATGCGAATTTTCAGGGTGGATGACCAACTGTCGTCCCGTCGGTCAACGACCAAATGAATACGTATCAAGAACTGCGACATAGTCAGAAACTACGTTATTAAGCGAACGGTTGGTTTGGGTTTTCGAAAAAGTAGGAAGATATTGGAAAATGCGACTTCTCAAGAGTGCGACATAGCAGGAGATTGACTGTATTCTATTTATCGATAGTGTCCGTTTCTCAGTTTGCGACCCTCCGCATGTCTTAAACGCTGGTATCTCCGGCCTTTTCATTTCACTGACAGGCTACAACCAATATTTCGTATGGACGATTATGATAGTCGTTTTAACTTTGTTATGATATCTGCCAATTTCTGCTTTGATATACCTCAATCATACTCTAATGAACAGTATTGAAAACGTCAGTACATCCATTTTTATATAAAATGAATTCACCTCGGCCTAATTTGTTCCACAAACTCACGAAACTTTAGCGACTCATCCCACATCATTGTCGCTGCCGTCCAATTTTTATTAGCACAGTGAAGGACATCTAAATAAGTATGAGAATTAGGAGATATTTTCAAATGGTTGTAGAATGATACCAGTTTCGAATCGTCGCGAAGAAAGAAAACCTTCTCCGTCTTCATTATTATGCACAAAGGGGCACCAAAAGTTGGCTCAGCAAAACTATGGGGATATCCGTGAGTTTAACTCCTGTATAACTTTTTCATCTTTCATTTTCATTTTACTTCCTTTTATTGAGCATACAAAGACACAATTTTCAGGAAGGGGGAGGTGGACAATCAGAGGGCTGCCGTACAACTACAGAATGGGAAAGACAGGTGGTGGTGGTGGGATTCGAACATACGTCATGAGAAGGAACTTGCGTTTATCCATCTACCCATCGGATGTCAAATATGACGTCTACACTATTTTCATGCAAGCCGGTTCATTAAAATGCATGATTTTAAATATGTGATCGGATGTCAACTGCTTTGCAGTAAAAAAATCATTTGTGGATCTTCTAAACACACTTGGCAATTGAATTGGTTTTGTTTACATTTGGTATGTCTCTCCTCGCGCCACTTACTCGGCTTCGAGTTCTCCAAACATATCGGCCTACTTGAAACCGATTCGCCCTGGAGAACTGTATAAAGACAGGTGTCATCTTAAGGTAGTATCAGCAGGTGATTCAGATAACTCTATCCCCAAACTAATTATATGCGGTACAGGACCATTTGCACACATATTGAAACATATGTAACCCATCGCTTGACCATTGAACTATTCCTAAATACTCACCGCGGGTGTTGATAACATCTGAAGCCAAAATCCAAGATTAGAAATCGAAACGTTTCACGTTAATCAGGCTAACATCTCTTGGTTTACATTTGGTGGAAGACGATTGTTGTAAATGAAATTACGCTTAATAGATTGTTGCTGTGCTCTCGTTGTCCGGAAGCAAAGTCACCAAATTATCACACCAGTGGAAATGTGTTCGGATCTCACCACCACAGTCTGACCTTCTCCACTATGTGCTGCAGTGAAATTTTGTCTATTGAGTGGAAAAAGATTTACGTTGCTTTTCTGTTATTCTATTATTACATTTGCTGTCCCGGATTATCCCTTGTTTGACGCGCCCTGGTGATGTAGCTCGTGATTACACATCCATCAAGGTATATGGGGCTACTGACTGAGAACATTTCATTTCACTGCGTAGACCTCGATATTCTGAGACTGTTGTTTGCAAACTGGTTTTACTTCTGAAAAAAAAGATTGCTTCAGATCCCTTTCAGAGTAGTCTGTGATAGACTTATTCTATTCTGCAGTTTTCCTGCAGTTTTTTGAAATCATTTTGTCTTTTCCTGGTATAAAGAAGGCAGACTTTAAGGTATTGAGATAGGACAAGAAAATATTTACTGCTGTTTCTGGAACTTCGTGGTTTATTCTATTAAATAATGTGTGGCGGACATGTTGGTGTTTAAATCTAAGTAATAAAGAACATTTTATCTGATAGCACCCATTCATTCCAAAGTGAGCTATTTGCATGTACTGTCCCACTTCTTCTATCTGGCACGTCCATGTACCTAAACTTTGCAATACCCCTTATCTTAGTTCAGTGGGACAAAGTCAAAACGTTTTCTCATCTCTTACAATTTATCCGTTAGTGGATTCAATTTTTTGTACCATGTTACTCTTCGTCCTCATTTGTTGTTATTAACAGTAATGCAATGATGGTCTCTTTTTAGTTAAACTATTGTTTGCACAGTGCCTAAGCTTGAAAAGAATTACACAAGACATCAGTAGGAGAATGCTTTTAAACAGAACATAATCCTTATTACCAAACACTTAAGACCCAAATTGGTTTGCTGATATACCCTAGTACAGATGCGGCCCTTCCATTGACAGATATGGGCTGAAAACTGCTACTCAGGTGCATACATGTTTAATTTATTATGTAACACGAGATTAGTGATCTATCTTTAGTGTTCTCCTTCCACACAGTTGCATAATATGAACTCCCGATTAGTTGCGTCATCTAGATGAAACCAAAAATCACCTTACCTCAGGCGAAACAAAGAAAATATTGCCGCATCACTCGATTGCTATTCACGCCTCTCAAGATAAATTGATTACATAATATCCGAAACATTTAAAACAGTAGATTTAGAAATTTAAGTACTGGGAATATTCATAACAAAAAATTTATATATATATATATATATTGTTACACCCCTGGATGAGAGGGGTTAACGAGTGGGTTTTCAAACTAGTCAGGACAAAGGTTTCCGCATAATTAGCGATCACGGTAACCATAAAGAAATCGTATTCCATTACAGTTATGAAGAGAAATTTGATAATAAAGTTTGGTCTCTGTGAAAGGTTTCACGGCGATCTGAAGGATGACAGCGGTGATTTTCAAACCTATTCAAAGGATTTTAACTATTTTGGCATCATGATAAACTTTCGAGTGTGAGTGAAAAGCTGGGATGCGGAATCATATGACCTGATAAAAGAGCTAATAATCGTTTCGAATCTCCTTGAGGGAAGTTACAGTTTCACTCAGTTTCAACTAATGTGTCGGTGACTAACAGTCACAAATAGGAAAGCTAAGGTGGTAATCATTGGATTCGGTCAAGCTACTTCTATATTGCTGTAACCCATCGACCATCGACACGTCTCCCCCCCCCTCGCCGAACGATTTTCGCGATTGCATGAATGGCCTAAGTGATTTCATTCCGGATAACTATAGGGGGATTTCGTTGTCGTCTTACAATCATATTTAGATAAATCAATGCAGTATAGTTTGCATTCAGCGTGTCTAAATGTGTAAATGTTCGATTTATTTCGATTATTGGTCAAAACAGTTTCAG